GACCAACATGGTGAAACCTTGTCTTTACTAAAAATACAAAAATTAGCTGGGCATGGTAGCGCACATCTGTAACCCCAGCTACTCAGGAGGCTGAGGCAGGAGAATTGCTTGAAACTGGGACACAGAGGTTGCAGTGAGCTGAGATCACACCACTGCACTCTAGCCTGGGCGACAGAGTGAGAGACTCTGCCTTAAAAAATAATAATAATAAATGAAAGGATTCTGGCCAGGTGCTGTAGCTCATGCCTGTAATCCCAGCACTTTGGGAAGCTGAGGCGGGCAGATCACTTGAGGCCAGGAGTTGAAGACCAGCCTGGCCAATGTGGTAAAACCCCATTTCTACCAAAAATGCAAAGAAAAAATTAGGCATAGTGGCACACGGCTTTACTCCCAGCTACTGTCTATGCTGAGGCATGAGAATTACTTGAACCTGGGAGGCAGAGGTTGTAGTGAGCCAAAATTATGCCACTGCACTCCAGCCTGGTTGACAGAGCAAGACTCTGTCTCAATTAATTAATTAATTAATGTAGGATTCTAATAGTGCTTTAAAGGCTCAGACCTTGTTAAAACTCTTAGCCTTTCAGCAGCAGTGAACCACAGGCCTACCTAGATATAAAGATCTAGCTTTTAGCCCTTCTGTGGGAAAAAACAAAAAATCCTTTTTATCTAAACCTGCAATTCTGTAGATTTGTTTTTTGTTGTTGTTTTGCTTTATTTTGTTTTTTGAGACAGGGTCTCACTCTGTTACCCATGCTGGAGTGCAGTGGCGTAGTCACAGCTTGCTGCATTCTCAACCTCCCTGGGCTCACATGATCCTCCCACTTCAGCCTCCTGAGCAGCTGGGACTATATTTACATGCCACCATGCCCTGCTAATTTTTATATTTTTTGTAGAGACAGGATTTCACCATGTTGCCCAGGCCGGTCTCGAACTCCTGGACTCCAGCCACCCACCCACCTTAGCCTCCCAAAGTTCTTGGATTGCAAACGTGAGCCACTGTGCCCAGCCAGGCCTTTATTTTATACATAGATAACAAATTCTTAGACATTCTATATAATTCCTGGCTCTCACCCCAAAATTGAAGTCTTAAAAATAATGTTTTTAAATCTTGGGACAAGAAAGCAGAATGTATATGATTATACACAGGTTGACTGACTTTGTAATGGGCAAAATTAAATCAGGCCTGTTGCTTATTCACCTTTCATTTATTGCCCCTGAGCATGACTATTTTAGCAGGTGGTGTACTGCAGTTGTTATACTACCTTATTTCTTCATAGTATACGTATTTGTAAACTTGCTTGATTGGATTTTCTCTGACTTCCAAAAGACATCTGCTTAACCTGCCATTTTAGCCCCAGCTAAAAATCAGTATTCATTGAATGAATGTATGTGTGAATGATGAGCCTTATCCCACTTCTAACTTGCTTGAACAAGTTATCTCTTCACCTTAGTTGTAAAAAGTGAGCTACTGGACCTTTGCTCTGTGCCCTATTTCCTTTTTTTTTTTTTTTGAGATGGAGTTTCACTCTTGCTGCTCAGGCTGGTGCAATCTCAGCTCACTGCAACCTCCACCTCCCGGGTTCAAGCAATTATCCTGCCTCAGCCTCCCAAGTAACTGGGATTACAGGCACCCTCCACCACACCCAGCTAATTTTTTTGTATTTTTAGTAGAGACTGGGTTTCACCACATTGGCCAGGCTGGTCTCAAACTCCTGACCTCAGATGATCCACCCACCTCAGCCTCCCAAAGTGCTAGGATTACAAGTGTGAGTCACAGTGCCCAACCTTTACTTCCTTTTTGTTTCCTTATTCTTTTTTTTGTTTTTTGTTTTTTGTTTTTTTGAGACGGAGTCTCGCTCTTGTTACCCAGGCTGGAGTGCAATGGCGCGATCTCGGCTCACCACAACCTCCATCTCCTGGGTTCAGGCAATTCTCCTGCCTCAGCCTCCTGAGTAGCTGGGATTACAGGCACGCACCACCATGCCCAGCTAATTTTTTGTATTTTTAGTAGAGACTGGATTTCACCATGTTGACCAGGATGGTCTCGATCTCTTGACCTCGTGATCCACCCGCCTCGGCCTCCCAAAGTGCTGGGATTACAGGCTTGAGCCACCGCGCCCGGCTTTGTTTCCTTATTCTTAAACACCTTACAAGCTTTTTGCTACTACCCCTGATGAACAAACTTCCTCTTGCTCTGGTCTATACCTGAATATTCACTCTCCTTTGTTTGTTTGTTTGTTTGTTTATTTTTGAGATAGAGTCTCCCTCAGTCACCAGGCTGGAGTGCAGTGGTATGATCTCAGCTCACTGAAACCTCTGACTCGCTAGTTCAGGCGATTCTTCTGGCTTAGCTTCCTGAGTAGCTGGGATTTCAGGCACATGCCGCCACATCAAGCTAAGTTTTGTATTTTTAGTAGAGATGGGGTCTCACCATGTTGGCCAGGATGATCTCTATCTCCTGACCTTGTGATTCCCCCCACCTCAGCCTCCCAAAGTGCTAGGATTACAGGCATGAGCCACTGTGCCTGGCCCCTTTACATTTTTAAACCCAAAAAAAGTACACGTAACACAACAAAATGTTTTTTCAAACATTCTGAATGTATTTGATAACACTTTGAGAATATTTAATCATATTTAGTTATAACTTTAAAATGATCATTATATTGAAATTTTTAATGATTTAAAAATATAATTTCCTAGCCGGACATGGTGGCATGCATTTGTAGTTCCAGCTACTCAGGAGAGTCAGGTGGGAAGATTGCTTGAGCCCAGGAGTACAAAGCCAACCTGGGCAATATAGCAAGACCCTTTTTTTCTTTAAAGGAATTTCTTGGCCAGGTGCAGTGACTCATACCTGTAATCCCAGCACTTTAGGAGGCCGAAGCAGGTGGATCATCTGAGGTCAGGAGTTTGAGACCAGTCTGGCTAACATGGTGAAACCCCATTTCTACTAAAAATACAAAAAATCAGCTGGGCATGGTGGCACATGCCTATAGCTATAATCCCAGCTCCTCGGGAGGCTGAGGCAGGAGAATCACTTGAACCCGGGAGGCAGAGGTTGCAGTGAGCAGAGATGATGCCATTGCACTCCAGCTTGGGCAACAAGAGTGAAACTCGGTCTCAAATTTAAGTTAATTAATTAATTAATACATAATAACATAAATAAATTTACTGGAAAATCTATAGGTAAAACCGTCTGGGCCAGCCAACTTTTGCTACCATTGTGGAATTGGGGTTTATGAAATATCATGAACCAGACCATTTCACTTTAGGACAACTCAAAAGGATCACCTTCCACATGCAAGATAGGAAGTTGTTAAGTTCTACCTGGAGACACAGAAGAATATCAAATTCGATGACATTATTGACCATTAGGAAGAGGCTGGCCTCCTGCTCTTTAATATTACATCTTAGTTCGATAAATTAACCAAGTGAAAATATGAACTATATTCATAGCTCAAATTTGGTCGTCTCCACATTTTTATAAAACATTTTTGGCCAGGCGTGGTGGCTCGCACTGTAATCCCGGTGCTTTGGGAGGCCGAGGTGGGCAGATCACCTGAGCCAGGGGTTTGAGACCAGCCTGGCCAACACGGTGAAACCCCATCTCTATCAAAAAACAAAAATTAGCTGGGCATGGTGGCATGCGCCTGTAATCCCAGCTACTCAGGAGGCTGAGGCAGGAGAATCACTTGAACCCAGCAGTTGGAGGTTGCAGTGAGCCGAGATCACACCACTGGATTCCAGTCTGGGCAGCAGAGCGAGACGTCATCTCAAGAAACAAACAAACAAACAGTGATAAATTTAAGGCCAAGATTGATCTGGAAGTGAAAAGGATTTTGGAGAGAGGGGAAGGATAGAAATTCACAAATGCCAATTTTGTACTTCTTGCCTTCTGGTATCTAAACCAATTGAGAAATAACCCCCAAACTTGGATAGGGTAAGGAAAGGATTTTATTAGCTTCATTATTCTCATAGATAGGTACCCTAGAGTTCCTGGATTGGGAAAAATGCCTGGGATCTGTAACCGAAACTGGACCTCCTACTACAGTTCCTCAATTCTAGACCTTGGAAGTGCACTTAAATAGAGTTAGGTATGTAGAGTAGACTCTTAGCCATCCAGAGACATCACACCCCATCTTACATACCACTAAGTGAAGAAAGAGCCAAAGAGAAATGAGCTTTCAAGCCATCTGTTGAAGGCCAGTCCTACCCCTTGGCTGGCTATGCTTAATCTTCAAGAAGAAAGATAAGGAAAACAAATGTTCTTCTTGAACACAAATAGGACATAGAATTATGTTCCAGTTCCACAGCCCAGTCTAACCAAATCAGATAAAGGGATAGAAGCCACAACAGAGGTTCCTGCCCCTCTATTGTAATCAGTCTGAGTCAGCCAATTTAAAATCTTTTTTATTTCTGTGTGGTATGAAATGGCTTGGGAACTTGGCTGCTCTAGAGCTCAAAACAAAAAACAAAAACAAAAAAAGAAATGGCTTGGGAACTTTGTTTTTCCCTTGAATAAGACATTTCTTTTTTTTTTTTTTTTTTTGAGACGGAGTTTCCCTCTTGTTACCCAGGCTGGAGTGCAATGGCGCGATCTCGGCTCACCGCAACATCCGCCTCCCGGGTTCAGGCAATTCTCTTGCCCCAGCCTCCTGAGTCTCTGGGATTACAGGCACGCGCCACCATGCCCAGCTAATTTTTTGTATTTTTAGTAGAGACGGGGTTTCACCATGTTGACCAGGATGGTCTCGATCTCTTGACCTCGTGATCCACCCGCCTCGGCCTCCCACAGTGCTGGGATTACAGGCTTGAGCCACCGTGCCCCGCCTAAGACATTTCTTACAAATAAATCAGGATTGATAGCTTTCCAGCTTATTTTTAAAACTTTTTTTTTTCCGTATTCTTTTGAAATTAAGCATTTTCTATTTAAAAAACAGCTTAACATGCAACACTTCATTTGAAAAAGAAAGAATTCTAACATGCTATCTGTTTCACAGGTTGTTGGTCATAAAGAAGGTCTAGATGTTATGGAGAGAGCTGATCCTTTATTCCTTTTAATTGGACTTCCTACTATTCCTGTCATGCTGATATTAGGCAAGATGATTCGCTGGGAGGACTATGTGCTTAGGCTATGGCGCAAATACTCAAATAAACTACAAATTTTAAATAGTATATTTCCAGGTAAGGCCCTGAATTGTGGTTGTAAAGTGCATACCAAATTGATCTTATAGAATAACCATAACATGCCTTTTTAGCAATGTTTGAAGATATTCTAGCTCTCTGATTTCTTAGCACTAATGCACTGAATTTTTTTCCTCTAGGGATTGGTTGTCCTGTTCCTCGAATTCCAGCTGAGGCTAATCCTTTAGCAGATCACGTCTCTGCTACTCGAATCTTGTGTGGAGCCCTTGTCTTTCCTACTATTGCGACAATAGTTGGTAAATTGATGTTCAGTAGTGTTAACTCTAATTTACAAAGGACAATCTTGGTAAGATGGCTTTTATATTACTTATATTACCTTGCAAAAGAGAATGAACTGTATTTATTTTTAAAAGATGGGCAACTGTGTAAATATTCAGTATGTGACTCCTATGCATTAAGACTCTATTTCAGCCTCACTATCATTCAATAGCTTGAGTGGAAATAAAAAGAGGAAGAACCACTGCAGCAGTTAAGGCCTTTTGGAACTATATTGTAGGTGATTTCTCTCCTGGCATATGTGTGAATCATCACACCTGACCCTCTTGCCAGTGGGATTATAGTGAAGAGCTTTTGCTCTAGGGTCAGACCGCCTGGTTTAAATCCCATCACAGAAATTGCCTTGCTATGAAATCTAAAGCAAATGTCTGGACTTTTTCTTCCTGTAATATGGTGATGGTAATGATAGCTACCTCAGGATTATTGTGAGGATTATATAAGTTTTAGCATATAGTAATCACTCATATTGTTTGCTACTATTGTTATTCCCACTTCTCCCCTCTGGTGGCAGTGTGCACATAGTGCCCTAGCATTCTTCTTTGTATATCAAAGTATATGTCGAATTATATGGAAGAAAGACTAGTCAGAAAGGATAATGGAGAACGCATCTCTGTCCTCTGTTACCTATAGTAACAGCGTGTAGTCTCTCTCTCCCTGTCTCATCTCCTAGTAGAAAAGGAAAATTATTTCATTTGCGGTCATCTGAATTAGTTTAGTGTCAAAACCTATATCTTCTGTGATCTAAATAAAATTCTTTTTATTATTATGTTTCTGTAAATCTGCATTATAAAAAAGCTAATTTTCCTTTTTATTTTAGGGTGGAATTGCTTTTGTTGCCATAAAAGGAGCATTTAAAGTTTACTTCAAACAGCAGCAATATTTACGACAGGCACACCGCAAAATTCTAAATTATCCAGAACAAGAAGAAGCATAAAACTGTGACTTCTGGTTGTCCTGCAGTCCTCATTCTTATGAGTCTGTTTTGTTGTTTTGATTCCATCATTAATGCACTTGTGAAGGCTTGTGATAAGCTGCTGCTCCTATATTTTTTAAGAAATATAATAAAGCACTTAGGGCAAGGGAAATCATCTCGGTAATCACGGAACCTAAGGATGTGATTTGTTTTCATTGTTTATATGTACTACTTTTATGGCAGTCATATGAACTGTTATCTGAGCATGGTAAACCTGGGTTTTGTTCATATTTTCTCCAGACAGAAATGTAAAGATCAAACTGTGCAAATATTAAAAAAAATGGACATGCTGTTTTATTCAAATGCCTCTTTTGTACATGTTCATGCCTAGTTGTTTTCTTAGAATCAGCAACTCAATGAAGGTACTATAAGGATTTTTCTCATTGACATAATTTGATTACATACTAAATAAGAGGCTATGTTAATATGAGGAAATGTAAATTAAATTAGTTATAAATAAATAACCAAAAATGTGTGTAAACATTCAAACGATTATCTGAACACATGAGATTTTGTGGTGTTTTCTTTAACCCATGTGATGTCCTCTAAAATGTGTAGGGTAAAAATTCACAGGGCTTCCAGATCACTTTTTCACTATTAAATTTTATTTATATAATGTTGACATCTCATACTTCATGAAGTAATTTTGACTCATGGAGTCTTGGGGTGTGTGTGAATGTGGGCGTGTGTATCAGTCATCAGGTCCTTTCATCTTTGGAGTAAGTTTTTTAAATCCATATTTCTAGAAATTAGAGCTCCCGGGCCGGGCGCGGTGGCTCACGCCTGTAATCCCAGTACTTTGGGAGGCCGAGGCGGGTGGATCACGAGGTCAAGAGATCGAGACCATCCTGGTCAACAAGGTGAAACCTCGTCTCTACTAAAATACAAAAAATTAGCCGGGCATGGTGGCGCGTGCCTGTAATCCCAGCTACTCAGGAGGCTGAGGCAGGAGAATTGCCTGAACCCAGAAGGCAGAGGTTGTAGTGAGCCAAGATCGTGCCATTGCACTCCAGCCTGGGTAACGAGCGAAACTCCGTCTCAAAAAAAAAAAAGAAAAGAAATTAGAGCTCCCAGTTTATAATAGCTTGAGCAGAGAAAGATTTGCAAAAAATATTTTTCTTTCCTCTTTCATTGATTCATTTATTGAGATATCGTTGATCACCTATTTCCCAGGCACTGTGCAGAGTGCTATGGGAAATAGTGGTAAACAAGACAGACTTGGTCCAAGCTCTTACAGAGTTTACAGTCTTGTTTCAGCATATAGAAAACCAGCAGTGAATAAACCAAGGTAAAGCCTTGAGCTCTGTGTTTTTATATTAATGAGGAGAAAAGTATGAAAACAAGAAGTCTTGAGTAAATTGTTTTTGGCTTAAGTTTATTATAGAAAACCAACACTAATGTTTTTAGATTTTAATTGCTTGTCGTATTGATGCGGCTAGCACCTTAATCACTGTTTGACTAGTTTTGTCTTCATTTTTCAAAAGCAATTATTTAAGCCATTTTCAATAGATTGGCCATTTTTAATGTTGTTCAGTAACCTGAATGGTTATTTTCATTAAATTTTTAAGAGATATTTTTAAAACCCTATTTTCTTGTTCACAGCATCTAATGCATGACAATAGTAAATATTTCCCCTTATTGATAAGTGGCCACTTTAGGAGTGTAGCAAATATAGATTGAGCTATGTTAGTTTGCAATAATATATGTTAACTTTAGTAATTAAAGACTGATACTTTTCCGTAATATGAATGTCTTAATTTTGAGTTACATGATGTTTATTTGAATGGTGAACATTCAAAGTTGTATTTGGAGAGGAAGAGAAGATTTGACTAACAGTGAGCCTTATTAAGAACATGACTACAAAAAAAAAAGACTACAGTACTGAAGGGGAAATATAAAATCTATGATTCTATATTTTAAAAACTTATATGGCTGTAATTATAAAACATTGGCTTTTCTTTTTTCAATGTGAAAAGATGTATTAAATGAACATATCTTGCATAATTTTGTTATTTAGAACAGTTTTTAGACAGCCTTTACTAAAGTTATGCAAGCACACAGTTCCCCATTTGCCACTTTAATGCCCTTGATGTGGGGAGTAGCTGTTTGGGTTTATAAAGATCTGGGCTAATGAAGGCCTGGGAACAACTCTAATCCTTTTGGGGCAGGAGGGAGGGGTTTTTTAGGGTTGTGGGGAGGGAACTGCAAGTGCCTGAGGACCAGAATGACATCTAGCCCGGGATTGAACACTTTTAAACCTAAAGAGCCTTATTAATAGCTCAAGAAATACCACGTGCCAGTCTTCCCATGAAGGTGACCTACCTAACCATGAAGTAACAAAAGACCATAGGCAGACTTAAAGTTGGATAGACCTGGGTTCAAGTCATGGGTAACTGTATGATTTTGGCTAACGGTCTTGACTTTCTCTCAGCTGTAGTTTTCTTAATCTTTGAAATGCAAGTAATATTTATCTCAGAAGACTTTGTAGGATTAACTGAGATTAAAGGAACAAGGCGCTTTAGGCTCAAAATGGCCCCTGCAGAGCGGTAGTTGTTTCTTAATTGCTAAGTAATCTGTTTGTACTCTAGGAAAAGTGAATTAAGAGGTAAGAGAAAGGCATTCGGGGACAAATTAAAGAGATGATACAGATTTTGGGGATGGGTGGGTACATTTTATTTTCCAGTTTATTCTCATATTGCTTTACTGTGTTATTTCTAGAAACTTATATGTTTTAAGCCTCTTTTATAAAATTCAATGATTCGTAAAATTATTTTCAAAAGTTATCTCCAAAGTGGCTGAAAATATTGTTTATCATTACATGATTATGAAATGACTGTGAAGAATATAAAATTAAACTTAGTGACTTAATTAGTCACTGCCTTGCTAACTCTTCCGTTTTTTAAATGTCTTGTTTTTAATATATAAACTATCTCAATACTGGCTGGATTAGGTTAAATAAAGAATTTTTATGTTCTCTAGGTGTACTTTGTCTGTTAAACAAATCTCAAAACATTCTGTGCATATGTTTTTTTTTTTATGTCCCATGCTCCTATGGAATTAGCAACATTTTTTTTTTTTTTTTTTTTTTTTTTGAGACGGAGTTTCACTCATGTTACCCAGGCTGGAGTGCAATGGCGCGATCCCGGCTCACCGCAACCTCCACCTCCTGGGCTCAGGCAATTCTCCTGCCTCAGCCTCCCGAGTAGCTGGGATTACAGGCACGCACCACCATGCCCAGCTAATTTTTTGTATTTTTTTTAGTAGAGACGGGGTTTCACCATGTTGACCAGGATGGTCTCGATCTCCTGACCTCGTGATCCACCCGCCTCGGCCTCCCAAAGTGCTGGGATTACAGGCTTGAGCCACCGCGCCCGGCCCAACATTTTTTTTTTTAATTTTAGTTTTTTTTAAGTAAAAGTAATCTGAATTTCTAAAAATCTGTATAGAGGAATTTGTCTTAATTTTGTAAGCAGGCTAGCCTAAATTCTAAGTATATTCTAATGACTAAAATATATCCCCTCAAAGCCTCTTGGACTGAATATAATTAGATAAGCAACTTGACAAGATCTATGGGTGGTCTCATGCCATTATAACTTAAAGTGTATTCAAGGCCGGGTGTGGTGACTCACGCCTGTAATCCTAGCACTTCGGGAGACTGAGGTGGGTGGATCACCTGAGGTCAGGAGTTCAAGACCAGCCTGGCCATCATGGTGAAAACCCATCTTTAAATGAATAAATAAAAATAAAGTGTATTCAAGTGACCTGGGAACACAAACTGCTTCCGAGACTTTTTTTTTTTTTCCCCCACCGTTTTGTCTCTTGCTTCAGAGATATTAAGAACTTAAGTTTTGGCTGGTCTCGGTGGCTCATGCCTGTAATCTCAGCTCTTTGGGAGGCCAAGGCAGATGGATCACGAGGTCAGGAGTTCAAGACCAGCCTGGCCTAGATGGTGAAACCCTATCTCTACTGAAAATGCAAAAATTAGCCAGGCATGGTGGCAGGCGCTTGCAATCCCAGGTACTCAGGAGGATGAGGTTGCAGTGAGCTGAGATCGCGCCACTGCCCTCCAGCATGGGCGACAGAATGAGACTCAGTCTCAGGAAAAAAGACACCCAAGTTTCTGAAGTAGATTAGAATCTTCTAGAAAGTTAAAGGTCTTTCATTGCATCCATGGGGGATTATTATTGGTTCTAAGTCATTTCATTACCCAATCTGAGAGACGCTAAGAGGAGAAAAGGTGTAGAATTGAACAGTCCTGGATGCATATGCTAGCTGTCACTTGATTAGCTGTAGGGCAAGTCACTTTACCTCTCAAACCAGTTTCCTTATTAAAATGAAGATTATAAAGTCTATCTCCTGGGTTATTTTGAGGATTGAGGTAACATTCTAGGACAGTTTGATATATAGGGAAACTAAGTCTATCCATTTGACTACAGCCTTTTTTGGTCCGCTGGAATCAAGGTTGCTGTTTCTGTGCTACCTGCCACTCAGCATGCCCATTAGAAGTGGTAAGAGTGACGGAATGTCTTGTTTAATTGCCTTCCTGAAGCAAGGATCCTGAGCAAGGGGAATAAAGGAGGGGTTTGCATCTGAATTCCTGCAGAAGTCTTGTGGACAAGCAGCAGAGATTAGACCGTCATTCTGGTCAATCCCAAGTGGATTTAAGCGTTTTTCTGAAAACAGGCCAAAGTTACTGTATGCCAACAACATACACAACTCTAGTACATATTTGTTGGCCTATATATGTGGCTAGATACTGTGCTCAGTCCTGGGGTTTTAAATAGTGATTAAGCCTGCTTTGAGATTAGAGTCGTAAAGTGCATAACAGATCTTATTATGATGTTACTGTCATAAAAGTGTAAGATCTGGCTGGGCACAGTGGCTCACACCTGTAATCCCAGCACTTTGGGAGGCTGAGGTGGGTGGATCACGAGGTCAAGAGATCGAGACTATCCTGGCCAACATGGTGAAACCCCGTCTCTACTAAAAATACAAAAAAATTAGCTGGGCATGGTGGCACACATCTGTAGTCCCAGCTACTTGTGAGGCTAAGGCAGGAGAATTGCTTGAACCCAGGAGGCAGAGACTGCAGTGAGCCGAGATCGCACCACTGCACTATAGCCTGGGCGACAATGCAAGATTCTGCCTCAAGCAACAGGTAGGTTGCTTCCAAATCTTGGCTATTTTGAATGGTACTGCTATAAATACGGGAGTGCAGGTATCTCTTCGATATAATGATTTTCGTTCTTGTGAGTATGTACCTAGGAATGGTATTGCTATGTTGTATGGTAGCTCTATTTTTAGGTTTTTTTTTTGTTTGAGAAGATTCCAAACTGTCTGCATAGCAGACCCACTGGTTGTGCAGGCGTATATGGTTTAATTTCCTTGTGTTTGTATAGTTGCCAAAATTCTTCTTATTGATTTTGTTTTATCCTTTTGTGGTCAGGGGAGATGATTGATACTATTTCATTTTAAAAAATCAACTTTTTAAAAATGCTTTAAG